TCTGGAACTCTGTAAAGCTTTTGGCATGGTCCCCCACAAAATCCTCTCTAAATTAGAAATATCTGGAGGTGGTGGGTGAGCCATTTGATGGTTGAGAAACTGGTTGTGAAACTGTTCCCAGAAAGCAGAGGTCTCAGAGACTCAGTGTCTGCTTGGAGACCAGTGACAAATGGCGTCCCTCTGGGGTTTGTCCTGGGACCAGTGCTCTTGGATACCATCACTGGTGATCAGTGGTGTCAGCTGTGGGAACTAGTGTCCCCCAGAGACACCTGGACAGACAGGAGCCCTGGGCCTAGGAGAAGTTTAACAAAGCCAAGCACAAGATCTGACACTTGGGTCACAGCAATGCCCACTATCAAAGCCAGAGGATGGAAAAGGTTGTGCCCAAAAAGCCAACCATGTGGTCGCTCCAAAAGCAGCGTGGCCAGCAGGTAAGAGAGGTGATCTTGCCCCTCTGCTCTGCACTGAGACCTCACCTGGAGCACTGCTGCTTGTTGGCAATGGAGGGATGTCCTGTCACTTATCCAACAGATTGGTTGTCTGCAAGTTGCATGGGCTTGGAGGACAAAACCATGTAAGGAACTTGAAAACTGTGCCTTAGATTGAAATTGTTGCATATGTGCAACAGTGTGCAGTGAGATGTGCAGTGAGATGGAGATTCTGGTGTTACATGTATATGAGGTTTGGTAAGTGGTGTAGCAAACACACAGCACAGTGTGACTTTATTTCCAAAAGATTTTGAGCCAGTAATGTCAGATGAGGTTTGGCAACCCACAAGAAGACATTAATTTCAAAAGCACTTTTCTTAAGTAAGAGGAGGCGAATTTCCTCACTAAGACGTAATAGCATTTTTCCTGTTATTCAGGTACTGAATTTTTGATGAAAAGATGCAACGAAAGCTCCATCTGTAAGGGAACTGAGTGTCAGGAAGGGCATTCTGAGAATAAACTTCTCAGAAGAGTTCTAGGATACTGAAGTTCTTTGTTCCTGAAATTATAGTATAGGAAGTGTATATTTCCCCCGGATTTCTATTCCCCATTCTTGAATTAGATAATACAAACGTTTTGTACTTCTAATCGAGGCAAAAGAGACATAAATTTTTGAGTCAAATTGTCAGAATATTGCTATCTTTTACAGCAGCACTTGAACACAACTACTGTGTCAATGGGCTTAGCTTTGAGTGAAGAGTTTGGTCCTACCACAACCTCCCCACTCTGTTCTTCTGCAGAAGTACAGAAAATCCCAGCAGGTGGATTTGCTGCTGTGTTCCTTGGCTGTAGTTTGCTCCCTTGTGCTATTTGCATCTTAACTCTGGCCAAGGAAGGAAGTTTGGAAAGAAGCACGATGCTTGCTTTTAAAAGTTACAAAATAAAATAATAATAATAATAATAATAAAAGATTGTCCAGCAAATGAAAGGGTTCACTGTGAGTACATTTCTCCTGGCTTTTTTTTTTTTTTTTTTTTTTTTTGTGACCAGAATCAGTAGGTGATATAGCAGAGAAAGGGGCAGGGGTGAAATTCTGGAGTCCAAAAGGACATGTGTCCCAATGGAGGTGCCACGTGCTGTGCTGTGTGAGGCTGGTCCAGCTTTGAGTCAACTGAGGGCTGGGGTTGTCCTGAAACCTGTTTGTTTCAAAGTTCACCTGGCTCAAGGCTGTTTTTAGTTTCCCAATGAACTGATTGAGTTGATAGCTGTCCTGCCAGGTCTGCTTTTCTTCCACAGAGGTAAGTCACATCTCAGTAATGCCCGGGTTGTCTCTGGTGCAAAGTGTGATGGGTTGGCTTGGAGCTAAGCAGCTCCAACCTGCCAGCAGCAGCCCGTGAGTGTTAGAAACCTCTTTGTTGGGGTTCCGAGGGAGCTCTGACCATCCCTCACATGTGTGCACACCCAGTCTCACCTCAAGTATCTGTGCTCAGTTCTGGAGCCTCTCTGCTATGGCTGTGCTCAGACCAGGGACTGGGCAGAGGATGTGTGCCAGAGGGGCAAGGACAGCCTTGTGTCGCCTGTCCGTGTGTCGTGGAACTTGGAGGAGCATTATGACATGGAGCACTTTCTGCGAAATATTTTTGACAGAAAACAATTCTGAGAAAGTAAGAAATAAGAGAAATGATAGTTTTCTTCTGTATTTTGGAATTAGGAAGAGCAGAGAAGTGGCGATTTGATTGTTCACTGTGAAAATTAAGGAACAACCCAAACCATTTCCTCTTGTTCACTCAATTCACATGGGTGTTTGGGCAAAGGCCCAAGAGTGACTCTTCATGAAGATGCCTGCTCCAATCTGCCATTGGGATCAGAAGACTTTTCACTGCAGGATGCAGGTTTGGCTGTCTCCTAGCTTGGTGTGGAGATGGGGCCCCACGGTTTTGAAGCCATCAGAGGTATTGCTTACCCTTCAGTACTGTGCAGTTAGTTCATCTCAGTTGTCTACACTGATGCAGCCGTGGGTTTGGCTCTCAGTTCCTCACTCAGCTCTATGGGTTCTCCTCCTTTGATGTCCATTCTGCCCTTTTGTCTCGATGTTACATTTAGTTGACTTTTGCTGGCTTCTTGAGGCAAAATTTGATTTGCCAGAGCAAAGATCCCAGCTTCCAGGATAAATCATGTGCCAGTGGGTGGATATCTTGTGTGTGCTAAAGCTCTTCAGGACCAGCACATACAACCTGGCTGCTAGCCAAGAAGGGTTGAACACGTGGAACCATTGGGTACAACTGGTGTTACATGTTTTTCTTTGAGAAAAGTGTTATTAGAAAGAAAATGGAGAGTCTTAGCCTGGAGAAAATGAAATAAGAAATGTGTAGAAATAAAGTAATGCAGAGCTTGGGCTCGATCTTTATGGGTCTCTTTGAAGCCAGGATTTCCTAATGACTGATGTCTGGGAACAGTTTTATGTTACAAATCACAGAATCACAGAATTGCCAGGGTTGGAAGGGACCTCATGAATCATGAATCTCCAACCCCCCTGCCACATGCAGGGCCACCAACCTCCTCATTTAATGCTAGACCAGGCTACCCATCCAATCTGGCCTTGAACACCTCCAGGGACGGGGCATCCACAGCCTCTCTGGGCAGCTGTTCCAGCACCTCACCACTCTCTCTGTAAAGTATTTCCCCCTGACGTCCAACCTAAATCTCCCTTCCCTCAACTTAAAACCATTTCCCCTTGTCCTGCTGTTATCTACCCTTTCAAAGAGTTGATTTCCCTCCTGTTTGTAGGCTCCCTTTAGGTACTGAAGGCTGCAATGAGGTCACCCCGCAGCCTTCTTTTCTCCAGGCTGAACAAGCCCAGCTCCTTCAGCCTGTCTTTGTAGGGGAGGTGCTCCAGTCCCCTGATCATCTTCGTGGCCCTCCTCTGGACCCTCTCCAACAGCTCTCTGTCTTTCTTGCACTGGGGGCTCCAGACCTGGACACAGTACTGCAAATGGGGCCTCATAAGAGCAGAGTAGAGGGGGACAATCACCTCCCTGTCCCTGCTGGCCACTCCTCTTCTGATGGAGCCCAGGATCCCATTTGCCCTCTGAGCCACAAAGGCACACTGCGTTAGCTCCTTATCACCTGTTTATAGGATGATGCTTTTTTTCTCTGCTGCAGATGACAAAAGCTGCAAGTGAAGGGAAGTCTGTTGTTTTTACCTTCTGGCAGACTCATGAGTGAGTCTCATGAACTCATGAGTGTAGGAAATCACTGTTTGATTAAAGATAATATTTTTCTGGGTCGAAAGTAATTCCTGGTTTCTCTCGTCACTACAAGACCCTGTGTGCTGCCTGGAAAATTAATCACATTTGTTAATGCTGCTATTTTTCTGGCTCCCTTTCATTCAGTCTGTGTTTGAACAGGAAGATGGCAGTGCAAAGAGGTGTATTAGCTCAGCACTGCCAGAAAAACTAATGCTGTCATTCAGATTTGCTTGTCTCATTTCTAATTTGTAAAGTGGTATTTTGTTGATTTATTCCCTCCTTTAAATTTAAAGAAATCTGGTGGTTTACACCTAGCTCTCAAAATTTCAGTGTCACTATAGAGAAAGCTGCTTCTTTTGTCTTTGCTGGGATTGTGTGATTTAAAGATGCTTTATGGACACTCGTTCAGCACAAATAAATTGTGCTCTTCCTACTTTTCTTCCTTAAAAAATGTCTTCCTTATATCTCATATAAATCTGCCTTATAGTTTGAAACCACTTCCCCTTGTTCCTATCACACAGACCCTGCTAAAGAGTCTGTCCCTCTCCCTTGAGCAATTGAAAGGCTGCTAACGTGGAGGATATTGTCATATTTCTGCTTATTCATCTTTGGAAGCTGTGGCAGAGGCACTATGGATCCAATGCCATTTCATCTTTCCAGTACACAGTAGATTGATTCCCTGGACTTATTCAAAAATAAGTGTTTGTCACGTCTGTATGGAAACACGCTACAGTCTGCAGACAAAACACGGGACGTGAGGTAGAGACTTACATCTGACATGGGGAAGCAACTAAACTGGTTCAGATGAGAGGAAGACTGGAACAGTCTGAGCAAGAAAATCCTCCTGATATTTAAGAGCAGTTCATGCCTTGCCAAGAGAAATGAGCCTTGTTTTACCTGAGTTGCAATGAGTCTGGACATTAGGGAGGTCTCTAATGGGCAGAGGGCTGTGCAGACTCGCTGCCCTCCCTCTGCTCCCGGCAGTGTGGCTGCAATGCCAGACAGTGTGACATCCACAAGCCTGGCACTACATCAGGTGAGCTCTGCCAAGTTCCTGGCCCTGGCAGGGATGCCCTGATCCAGCCCAGCTCCGTGCATCACTACTGCTGTGCACTGAGCCAGCATCAGGGCCCAGATATCTGTGCAGGGGGCAAAATCTGCACCTCGTAGGCACATTTTGGCAGTGATATGCCCCGCTGCAGGGATTTTCCTGTGTTTTATCTCGTGAACTTGCCTGGCTGGCATCGATCCCAGGCTCTATGTCCCACTTCCTGCCAGACTGAAAGTGAAATCGAGTTGCTTTTAAAAGCAGGGAAAACCAGCAGCACGCCTCTGTCTGCAGTGATTGGTGTCTCCTGCAGGGCTCTGGATGTGGAGCTGCATGTCCTGAGCACACAGACACTGCACAGGCTCAGGAGGGCTTCCTCGGACTCACACATCTTCGAGGTATTTACACGGTGCTCTTCTGTAAGGTCCTGTCCTACAGCTGCTCTTTTTCCCTTACAAACTGTTGGTTTCCTCTTCTTAAGGAGGCAATTCAGAACAGGCACTAAAAGCATCTGTGGTGGGAGGGGAGCTATCAGTGTGGTTTGGGTTGTTCTCTGCATCATTCAGTGCATGCAACTTCAGTGACTGCCCTGTTCTTGTCACTGCAAAACCATGACAGCTTGATGAATTAGTGCAAATCTGTGTGAGTGACTGCAGGAGTTACAGAATAAATCTACCCCAGTATTTCCATCTTCACAGGATGCTAAATAATTTTCCCACATGTAGATAACTGTTATTTCTTGTCCTCATAGCTTCTTAGTGATTTTTTTTTTTTCTAATACCCCTTTTCCAAAATTACCATCCTGTTGTTTGTATGGATAAAAGCCATTTGATGGGTGGGTTTTGCAGTAGGAACCTTTGCAACTCTCCCTCTTTTCAGCGAGAAGCAGCCCTGCATGCTGCTGCCTCTGCACCCCAAAAGGGACCTGTGGAGATCCTGGTGGCTTTGGCCACCAAACAAACAGAACCAAAACAGAAAGCATCAGGCAGTAAGGATATTGGTTTTTCATTTACAGAAATGAAAGCAAGGAAAGAGTTGCTTCTACTCACCCCAATGTGCCACAAACAGCAGAAATTCTCAGTTGTGTTTCCCAGTGGTTAATTGTGAAAGTGTTTCATAAGAGGGATTCTGTAGAAGTATCCCCATTGTTTGTTGGTGCTGAGGGGGACAGATTGTGTTTGCAGACTAGCTCTGGCAATAGCTGTTTTGCCTCTTTCTCTGATTTTTCTCTTGTTTTTAATGTGTTGCAAAGGTTTGTTGAGTGGCATTCAGCAGATCAACCAATGAAGCTGGTACTTAAAACAATACTGCAGTTCTTTTGTGTAAAGTCCACTCTTCTTCCAGGAAACAGCTTCAAGTTAAAAGAAGAAGTATGTAGCATCTTAGGAAGTCCTGTTTCTGCTGTAGTTTCTTTACTTCTTTCAGCTCTGTTGCTTTCTGCAAGCTGTTGGAAACTGAAATCCTCTCCCATGGGATACTAAGAGAACACAGAAGTTCTTTCTGAAACTTACAGTAACATGTAAATCTGTTCTATATTGCATTACATCACCAGAACAGTTGGGCTCAACCACATGATCATATGCTGAAGAGCTCATTAAGCCATAAAACCTTGAGCTGCACGTCCATGTGAGAGAGTGAGGAGGGGCAGGGACACAGTGTTTACTGCTGCAGGAGAGGGTGATGATGTGTTGTGGTCAACTGGAGGGGAAAGAGCAGGGCAGCAGCCATGTGAACATATGGGAGAAGGAAAAGTGCACTGAAATTCCAACAGCTGTTTCTGAAACAAAGCCAGAATGCCTCGTTGGGGCTCTACTCACAGCTGATACTCAGATCTTGACGCTAAAACTGGTACTGTGCTGCTTGGGCTGGACTGCATTTAGGGTTTGGCATTGCTTTGCCACAGATTCAGCAGTGAGAATTTGTACTGCCTTGAAGACGAAAGTGAGCAGAAAGAAAGCAACTTGATGAAAAATGTTTTCTGTGCCAAGGAAATGTTTAGTTTTAGATTCGAGCGCTTTCTTGCTGATGGAAGTTTAAAATTAATGGCAGAAACTGCAAAATCATGTATCTGCCTTAAGTGGTACTGGGGACGAGACAGAGAGAGCTGTTTGTTTTAGAAAAAAAGCAAGGAGGAAGAGAAGGAAGAAATCTTGATGAAGGAAAGAGAATGGGAGATGTGCTGCAAGCAGCACAGGAGGAAAGGAGAAAGGAGGAGGCAACAAAGAGGGAGAGAAAACTTTGGGAGGGACTGAAAACTTTGGGGAAAACAATGTTGTTTGCTGTCAGATCTGTGGGTAAACAACTGCCAGTCTGTGAGTTGAGCAAATGTTCCAAGGACAAAGTTGGTGACAGCCCCCCTCAGTGCCTGCAGAGCAGGAGGAGGCAGTCACAGCCGGCTCATGCTTTGCAGAAAGAGGATTTAGGGAGAGCAGTGTGAAACAGCACTGAATGATTTGGTCTCTGTGCTTGTTTGGTGCTCTGGATGTTTCTGGCGTCTGTGGGGCCAGGAGCAATCCCTGCAGATGGTGCATGGATGGAGCGGTGCTGCGTTGCATGGAGGAATTGCTCCCTTGTGTTATGCTGAGTGGGACAGGGTGGGCTGTGTTGTCTGCTGGCAGCTGTAGGGGCTTCCATAGGGCTGGGATGTCTCCTGCCCCATCTGCTCCTGGGGTCACAGTGGCACTCTGCAGCTCTCACCCAGCGCAGGGCGAGGGAGCTGAGCAGTTATTAATTCCTGCTGATGATGTAACGTGTAATTTGGAAATTCACCCATGGCAGTTCCCAGTTGGTGACCCATTAAGAAAATTATCTTAATCTCTGAAGGGCAGAACAGTTAATGTTTGCCCCTGCTCCCCTAGTGAGCAAACCTAGGTGAGTTTTCCAGGGGAATTACTTTTTTTTTCTCCTTCAGAAAGTATAAGTTGTGTTTTATCTAAATCCACTTTCAGTGTCATTGGAATGACCCAGGATGTTTTTCTCACTCTTTATTAAGAAATACTACGGGTTTTATTTGCTTGAATTTTCATTTAGAAAACCTGATATCTGTTCAAATCAGAAATAAAAGCGATGTAACAGTAAATATTTCAAGTCAGGTCATGCAAAGCAGTCACTCACAACAGAGCATCTTTCCTACCTGTCTGGGTGTGTGTCTTTGGAAGTGGCAGCAAGTCATGGGGAGTGATTTGTTGTGTGTATTGCTGAGTGATGTGCATGGACCTGGAGCATCCTGGCCAGTAAGGTTGGGAGGGATTTATCCTCTTCTGCAATAGGACTTTGTGGCTTCTGCTGCTGCAGGGAATCCAGGGCTGGAAATGAGTGTCAGTGCCTTGCAGGATGCAATGACAGCTGAGCAGCACAAGCATTTCTTTGCCTGAACTCCAGCTTTCGCAGCTTGAAGCTTCTCAGCACTCGGTCCGGAGGTTGTTTTCTTTTGACTGGGGAAAGATAAAGAAGCAATATAACAGCTGTTATTTGATGCACACAGGGAGATAACTCAGGGCTGGGTCGGGTGACCCTGCTGGGATCACGGAGGTCCATCAGTGCTCAGTAGCCCAATGGGCTCTGCCTGCATCCTGTGGCTGTGCCTCCTGCTGCTGGCCCTGCCCACTCCACATGCAGGTGAGTCACCTTGTTGGACTCTTTGCCCTTCACAGTGCTGTAGTAGCTAGTAGTTATAAACATGCAAACTGTTGTTATGTCCAGCTGAAACTGAAACCATGCAACAACTGAGATAAGAAGAAGGGGAAGGTGGTTCACTGTTGCAACTGCTTCACTTGGGAAGAATGACTCTTTGAATCCATCTGAAGTCAGATGAGATTAGTCCTTTCTTAAAGGATTAGCTCTTTACCAAGAGAGCCCGAAAGACTCAAACTTCTCTACCAGCTCTCAATGCCCAGCACACTCCTGCACTTCAGCCAGGCTGAGCTGCTTGTCTGTGGAAGTGCTGCCAAACTGAATCTGTGGCACTGATTGTGGGGCACCACATCCAGCTGGAGTCTGGCAGCTCAGCTGTCAACATAGTCTTGGGACAATGATACCTGCTGGAGATAGACCTGGCCATAGGTTTGTGGAAGCATAGAAAACAAGGGGTGAATTATCACAGAATCATAGAATCACAGAATGGCCAGGGTTGGAAGGGACCTCAAGGATCATGAAGCTCCAACCCCCTGCCATATGCAGGGCCACCAACCTCCTCATTTAATGCTAGACCAGGCTGCCCAGGGCCCCATCCAATCTGGCCTTGAACACTTCCAAGGACAAGCCTCTCTGGGCAGCTGTTCCAGTACCTCACCACTCTCTCTGTAAAGAATTTCCCCCTGTCGTCCAACCTAAATCTCCCCTCCCTCAACTTAAAACCATTTCCCCTCATCCTTATCTGAGCCTGCCTGAGCAGAGGATCCCTTAGCTGAAGAGAGATGTCTCTCAACTCACTTCCCAGGCAACCAGCTTCCTAGTTCAAACCCTAATGGCAGCAGGACGGAGTAGTATCCTTTTTCTACTCCAAAAATTATTTGGGGAACTGGATCCAGTACCTACTAAAAATTTCCCATTGGCAGATATAGTGTCTTCTAAGCCACAAGTGGGTTTGTCCACCAGAACTCAACTCCCATTCTCCTAACTCTAGGAGTCTGGAAGAAAACTGATAGGAAATGGTTTTTTTCTTTGCTTTCTCCTGTAGGTATTGCTGTGCCCAGAGCTAACCTTGCTGAGGGGGCAGATGGCTCTTCCATCATCAATACCACTGTGACAGTCTACTACTGTAAATACTGTGGGGAAGAAAAATGCAAACCATCTGATTACGCAGACTGTGAAATAATCGGCAAAACAAAAAAGGAGATGTTTTCAAATGAAAAAATTCAGCTGATGATCAACAAAACATACATTACTATGTGTTTTCTGAAAGAAAAAGACGTGAATCATGATGGAGCTTATGCCATTTTCTGGGAGAAGGATGAGGGATTAGGAGAACCGTGTGCCATCCTGAAGTCTAGAGGTAAACTCAGCTGGAAGTCTTTGAGATACACCAAGAATCCCTGGTTTTGGCTTACAGCCCTTGGTTAAAAATCTTAGAAATGATCCGTATTTATAATTAACAATTTTACCTTTCAGATTCCCTTGAAGATAGGAGACACAGCATGACAGAAAAGGGAAGAATCTGCTGTGAAACACACACAGATCATACAAACCCTCACAATGTCCTGAAGTGCTACATTGCAGCGACAGAGAATACAGGTGACATCCTTGATTATGAAGATCTAGGTCAGTCTTTCCATCACATATTTGTCTGCCTTAAGTTTTGAGACAGTTTTGCTCAGACAGCTTGCTGCAGCCAGTATTAAAATAGCTGTCCAGATACGTGTATATTTAGGTTCATGTCTACTGAGGTCTTTGGAATCCTGGTCAAACTTCATGTTCTGAGTGGCGGCCTTTGAACTCATCACTGACGTAGCTGAACATCTTGTCCTTATCAAATCCCTGTATCTGAAACACACGCTATCCAGAACCACGCTGCTTTGAAAAATGTTTTTCCAGCATTTGCTTTCTACCTCTGTTTTTTAGCAAAACAACAGCCATCCAAACAAGTAAAACTGGCTAACTGTAAGATCACTGGAAGACTTCACAAAGCTATTCCTCACATTTTCAGTGTATGAGCTCTAATGCCTACTGTGCTTGATTATTTTGGATGATAGACATATCTGTCCTGGTGGGAAGTCAAGAGATTTTTTGAATGCTAATAGTCATTCTTTTGTTACAAGTATCATCGTTAAGGTATCCAAAGCCATGGACCATTTGTTCTGTCCTTCATCAGTTCCATTTCCCATACCAGCCCTTACGGGCTGCATTGCAGGAGCACTATCCACAGTTCCTCCCAGCAGATGCTTATGAGGCAGGCTCCCATCCTGGCACACTTGTTGGATTCTTTTGGATTCATTTTCTTCTGCTCTGCAGGTAGTCCTCAATATTCAGTCGATGAAAACAACCATGCTGGTCTCACTGCCACGTTCCTGATTCTGGGGATTTGTGCAGGAGGAGCACTGCTGATCACATATTGCAAGAGACGTCGAGGTATGGTCTGACAAAACATCATGTTCCTGTGGGTAACAGGCCTTCATAATCAGCCCAGGGAGTGGAAAAGGAAGCATACAGGGTTTTATTTCTGGATCTCATTTTCAAAATAATTGTTTACGAAGTTGCCAAATGATGTTCATCATGAAGGGGATGCTTGGCCAGCCAGTGGCATGAAAATAGTAATAAAAGGGGAAAAACAACTGCAGGCATGTTAATTTTAATTCTTCTAAGTACATCTTTGCTAATGCTGGGACTTAATTACTGTTGTTTTCCTAGGACATATCATAGTGCTCCAGCAGACTTCTCCAGGTAAGCAGTGGCTTTTTTTGATTTTATTATGGTAACTGTTGAGATGGCATTGCTGCAATGGGAGGAGGGTGCTCAGTGAAGGACTAGGTGTGTCCACTAGGACCACATTCAGTGGGTGCCTGTTTCCTCACTGCATCAAAGCAATGTCAGTAGATTTTAACCCCATAGCTCTGACCCTGTACTCTGATGTGACTCTGCAGTGGTTTTAAAACTCACGTGTTGATCATTTACACAGTTCTAAAGGCACATCTTTACCCTACCAGTGTTTACAGGAGCCTATGTACTTCCAGAAGCTGACATGGCTCCTCTCAGTTATTCAACTGCCCCATCCTATTTTAGGACCACATGCCCCTGTTGGCTTTGCTATGGTGGTTCGCTGTTTCTTTCCAGAGTCTAAGAATTGAATTTCTAATCTAATTTGTTTAAGGTTAACTTGGTTAGAAGGTATCTATAGCCTAAGCCTTTTATCTTGTGCTCCCTTTCTAGTGAATGGGGAGACACAGCTGTCTTGAAGGCCATTTGTCTTACCTGTGAAGGTGCCTGTTTCTCTCTGGTGACTACAAGGGAAGCCAATGATAACAAGCTGAGACTAATGAGTATCTGCAGGTAGATAAAACACAAGTTGATCAAGTGCTTGCAAAACTCAGTAAGGACAGCGCAGTGGTAGTGTTGCTGTAGTTGTGATTAGGACATGGAAATAAACATACTGCTGGGATATGCAAAACAGACATCTAGTGTCTCTCTGGAGGTTCTGGTGTTATACTCGCTTATGATTCTCACTGCAATCAACCTGCACCTTTGGCCTCACAGCTGTTTTTCCTTCAATTCTCACCTGCTAGATTAATCAAACAAGTTTCTGAAAGCAAAAACCTCATAGTTATTCGAAACACCATCTACAAAAGAGAAAATGCCAGCCGTGCGCCCCTCAGCAACGAAGCGCAGCCACCAACACCGAAACGCTTTCAGACAAGGTCTCACAGTAACGTTCACAAATGTGCCTTCACCGCCCTCAAGCATTCCCTGAGGACTGAGACTGCCCAAGATGCTCAGCTCCAGCAATACCAGAAACTTCCTGGAGCTCCTGTCCTCCTCTGGTGCTTGGCTGAGGGCCACCATCATCACAGGGATGAGCAGCTGGCTCAGCAGCACAGGCTTAGTCCAGCTGACTCCTCTCAATGGATGATCTGACTGTTTCAACCACGCAAACCAAAGTTGTTTGGAGAACTGCATCTGTAGTTGGGAGAAGTGTGTGCTGAACTCTGTGACAGGTGTTCTCTATGTGTTCTCCATGTCATAATGCAATGGCATGGCTGTGGCTCTTCATCCTTTAGCTCCCAAGTGGTCTCTGCATTTACATAGGAAAGCATTTAGTGAGCTGACTGGTTTGGTTAGGGAGAGAGGCCTGATCTTCAAAGCAGATGTCCGAAACCGAAATTGAAAAGTTAATCATGAATGACAGCAAAAGATATGTTAAAAATCAACTTCAGAAATACAGAGAAGTAGTATTTGTCTTCTTCTACAGAGAAATAGAAGTCTATTCTTCTATTTCACTCTTGTAAGATCCAAGTGCTCCCACAGCCCCAGCTATAACAGTGGGGGCTTTATGCACCTGCTGACCAAAAATAATCTTATCTCAACTCTCTAATGTGGTCTTCTAATATGGAGAGATTTATTTTTCCCATATGTATCTTCATGTTCTTAGGTGCAGTGTTCAAATTGATGGTTGATGCTCTTTTTTCTTTTTTTTTTTTTTTTTTGTATACCCTCAGGTTCTGAGTTCTTTGGGAAACGGACAGCAAGATATTTGAAAGCTTACATTGTATTAACTTGAGGGATTTGGATTTAATAATGAGAGGATTTAATTTCTAATCTTTAACACCAGTTGGAGCCAGAGAGCTGATCAAGTTTTTAGAATGAAGGTTACCAGCATGATTCTGCCCAGTGACAGCTGTTCAGCTGTCAGTCACAAGATGTAGTCCCAAGCTGGTCCTTGAGGCTCACCCAGACACCTTTCTTTGCATCTCTCCTGCCTTTCTGCTGCTATTGTGCAGCTGTGATGTTGAGAGGTGTCACTACTAGCTGTTCCACTTTGTGGCTCCTGGGCTCTGTTTTCCTGGTAACACCAATTCTCCAATGTTTTGGGGAAAAATTACTTTAATGATTTATGCTTTTTGCTCGGAACAAATGATTTATGTTACTTTATGTGAGCTTTTACAAATAAATATATGCATGCAAATACACATTTCTTAAATAAAGATTGAAAATACCAGGCATCTTGACTCAGTGAATGGCATAATTTGACAACTGTAATTTTGTTTTCATGAGTTTTGTGTTCTTATAAAATTGTTAAGGTTGGGGAAGACCTCTACATCATCCAGTCCAACCATCCACCTACCACCAAAACTGCCACTAAACCACATCCCTCAGTGCCACATCTCCATGGTTCTTGAGCATCTCTGGGGACAGTGACTCCACCTCCTCACTGGGCAGCCTGTGCCAATGCCTGATCACTCTTTTAGAGAAGAGGCAAGCTGTGGTTGAATGCTCATGGCTATACAATGTCAACTTAAAAATTGGCTATTCACTGGTAACCCTGTGTTGATCATGCTGCCTTTTGGCAGCATCTCGTTGCATTCTCATGTGAACTTGGTTTTCTTCATGATAATTGATGAAAATTTCTCAGCTTTTGAGCATTCAGGGATTCTTTGGGAACACGTTTGTTCCCTATCCACTCACAGAGACAACTGTCCTGCAAGAAGAGCTGTTCATCAGGAGCAAGGAGTATCTGAGATTTCCTTTTGCTGACAATTTGCAGCTACAGAACATCATTCAGTGGGAAGCCAGATCCACATAAGAAGGACACAGAATAGAAGCATAGAATAGCCTCAGATGGAAGAGACATGCATCAAGTTGCATCAAGTGCAACCCTGGCTACCACCCCAAATTTAAACCCTGTGTCTGAGAGCGATGTCATGCTGGTAAAGCAGTGGGAGCCCTGATTGTCTGTATCCATTGTGATGTGCTGAGTGCCCATGCTTCCAGCAGGGTGACCACATGTGATAACAATCCTGAGGAGCAGCTCTGAGCCCACCTTTCTTCAGCTGACTGCAGTGAGACGTGGGTGCTTCTATTCACAAGTTAGGGGTTGTTCTAGAAACTGTGGGCGTTGTATGAAGCAAAGTGTGAAGTGAGAACCTCTGTTTATAAATCTTTCCCCACTCTCTTAGTTGCTGGGGGGAGGGAGCTACTTTCATTTAGTAAACAGCTGGTGTAGCTGGAAGGTAACAGGCCAAGTTGCGGCACACAGCTCTTTGGGTCTTTAACTCATCAGTTGAGTTAAATTGAGAAGATCAGCTAAAAAGACCTTTGAAGATGCAGTGGACGTCCCCTCTCCCATTGGTGTATCTCTTTCTTCTGCTTCTCCCATTCTTCCCTGGCCGAAATGGTACGTACAACATAGCTGCTCTTACGTTTTCTTCACTCAGTTATTTTCTTCTCCTTTCTTCCTTTTTTCTTCTTTTCCTTCCTTCCTTCTTTCCCTCCTTCCTTCTTTCCTTCTCTCCTTAGGTTACCCTCTGGATAATTCACCATTAGCAGGTGGAACTTTGAAAAAACATGCTCTGAAATTTTAGAATGCATTTTTAGGAAAAAAAAAAAAAAAAAAGGAAAAAAAAAAAAAAGCAGAAAAATATTCTGCTGAAAAGTTTGCTCTTCTAAACAAAAGTAACCCTCTGTAGAAAGAGCAGATGATGTTTTCCTAGTAATTCATTGTGAATTGTATCTGTGTTCTCAAGGCTGACACGGAGAGACCGCTACTGGATAGAAATGAATGTTGATGTTTTGTATGGATGTGATCATGGAAAGTGTAATAAAGCTGTACTAGAAAAATCAGATGTCGTGTATTGTTGTAGCTACTGAGAGCACAAGCTGGAGGCATATTTGGGGAAATCAGGATGTCTGAGGGGAAGAGATGGAGAAAAACGATGCCCTAAACAGCCAGGTAGCTCCTTTATTTTCACCCATGATCTCAAGTCTATTTTCACTGATAATAGCTGGGAAGGATGGTGACTTGAGAAAAAAAAAAAACTTTCCAAAAATCAGCATATTTGAAATGAAGATGCTTTGATACTGACGGTAATAGATAGTGTTTTTGCCATGGTTGCTTCTGGTTGTTAAGGAATCCATACTGATTTCTGCAAGTATAATTTAATTCTTGAACTTTTTTTTTTTTTTTAACTCTGATCTTTTAGAGAAAGTGATTGACTGGCTGTGGCTGCTTGCCATTAACTACTTGGGTTATTATATCACATAAATGGGATTCAGCTTAGAAGTGCTGGTTTTAAGGCTGATGGGGATGAATTACTGAGCTTTCTTTCCCAGCTAGTTAAATCAGAACACTCTGCACTTCTCCAGCCTTCTCAATTGCCCACTTTCTCTTTTACTTTGAAAAGTAATTGCCAATGACTCGTGGATTGCTTTAATTCTTTAAAGGTAGGATGCAGAATGTTCTCCTCTCTGGGCAGGTTGGATTAACTCAGTGTATCTAAATTCTGATGATGTCTACCTGTTTTTAACTTCTGTGATTGCTCCCTTATTAAGGTGAGTTGTTTAAAGTACGTAGAGCACCTTAATCATCTCATAAACTCAACTCTTTCTATACTGTTTCCTTATCAGATATGCCAATAGATTCTATTTCATTTTTCTTTTCTTGCTTGGAATGCAATTTCCTTTACATGTTTGCCATTTGATCTTGATTCCTCACTGTTCACTCTGTAAGCACTTCTTGTTCAGTTTCTTGTTCTTTTCAGGTCATTAGAGAAACTCAAATGGTCTCCTTACATGTTTTTATACCTTTGTTTCTTAATACAGGCTGTAGTGCTATACCTTCTGCTGCTCTCTTCCTGTGAAGCTCCATTATCGAGTTCCCACTAAAGCTTAATTTTTCTTTGAAATCCAAATTTTTCTTCTATTCTCTGCCATTCTGTCATCTCTTTGGTCTCCAGATTTAGATCCTCAGCCAGCTCTGATTACTGAGCGGTTCAATGAGCTTTGTATTTTAACAACAAATAGTGGGAACCTATAGATTAAATTTTTTTTTGCATGAGTGACAGAAGCCATTTTTTGGGAGTCCAAAGTCTTTTAAGCTTTGGGAAGATATTGAGTCATACAGGTCAATAGGAGGAAAAGGTACTGGAGGGTTTAGGACAGGCAAAAGACTATATATATGGAATAGAAAGAGGAAGGTTCAGGCTTACAGCTGTTCTGCTGACAAAGTAGTTATATTTGCAGATTACCTTAATATATATACATCAAGAAATCTGATATTATAATTTCCATTGCATTTCTTATTTGTAGGTAAAGAAAATATATCAACTGAATGGCCAACAGACGTTATCAGTGCTTGGGAAGGAGACTCCGTTACTATAACTTGTTCAAAGAACAGTTCAGAAAATGAAGTGGGGACATACTTGAGGATTAGAGAACCGCTAGACAATATTGTATACGTTTCCTCCAAGAATACTTCACATATACATCGGAATTTTACTAATCGCACCACCTACTTAAATGAAGGAACAAATCTCACAATCACTGTGCACGGCGTACGGAGATCTGATTCAAATATCTACCTATGCGTCACCTATATTACAAAAAACAACCACCACATCAAGCAAGATGGGAAGTCAATCATTTTGGTTGTGAAAGGTACTGTGGTTCCACTCTACGTAGTATGAATTAATAAATACAGGGATTTATGTTAAATAACAGATTGGGAAAAAGGCATAGAGTCTAACAGAGCACTACGCACGCTTGCTCAGGTAATGTCTTGATTTGAAGTGTAGGTCTGTTCCCTGAAAAGATGAAGAAAACACATCAGCAACAACACTATCAATAAACCCCCGAAAGCATCAATCCGTGATTAATTTAATCCTTGCTACAGATTTTCACGTGAGTCAGAGGAGTTACTGCAGAAGTAACTGAGAACTCACGGCTGTTCTTACAGCAGTCTGAGAAATCTTTATGAACAACTGGCAAAGCAACGAATCATTTTTCTGGTAGCAGCCTTTGCAGATCTTTTTCGTTTTTACCACTCCACCTTAAATGAGAATGCAACAATAAGGAGGAAGCTGGTGCTCGGTGCGAGGCAGGGTTTGTGGGTTGAACGTCAGTGGATACAGGGATTCATGTTTTATTTCTTTTTAGAGGAAACTTCCCTGTTCGTAGTCATTTCTGGTTAGGAGAAGAATTCTGTCTTTTTTTTTATTTTATTTTCTGCTCTTTTCTTGTCCTTTTCCATTTTTTAATTTTTATTTTCATTGAAAGAGGGTTGAGATGTTTTTCAGAAGATTATTCTCAGACATGCCTACATTTCTGGCGAGACCCTCTAACCTGAAAATATCTTTACCAAAAATGACAGTTTTCGTTCTTTCCAGTCCCCAGGAAATGCAAGAATTCATTTACTGCTGGATCAGTAACGGGCATTTAAATCTACTTATCACACTCCTTAGACTTCTCTTTTCAGATTTCTTCACTGTGTTTTCTCAAATGAATTCCATCTTGTTGGTTATAGTTTCTCCAAATTACGTTTTAAAATTATCTTTGATATCTTTTTGATTCTGAACCTCTTCTCTGAAATGATTGCAACCTTTCCAGAGTTATCTTTGCACAAAAGTGATGAGTTGTCTTTATTCCCTCATCTACATTGTTAATGATAACATCAAAAAGTATGGAGTGTACTGAAAGCGTGCAGAGATTTAGCCTTTAAGTAAGTAAATAATAAATAAATTTCTATGATGTTTTTTCTCTACTCGTTCCCTAGTTAAAATGCAGTGTGTTGTTTGTGGTAGCCATTCATCTCTCTTTTTTTTTTTTTTTGTTTAGCTAAACCCAATGGGGTCATTGAACAATCACCACAGTCTGTCCTCGCTCAACAAGGAGAGTCTATCAACATTACCTGTGTGTTGAAAACATGGCTTGAAGATGAAGGGATCATGTTGCTCAGGACTCAAATGCAACCTGAAAAAGTGTTCCATGTTTCAAGTCAGAACACTACGACTATTTTTTCCACTTTTGCTTATCACTTGGAGTATTCAAAGCAAGGGAAGAATCTAGTGATAACTCTCCACAACCTACAGGAAAGCGATACCGACATTTACCTATGTGCTGCAAAGCTGAAAAATTCCTCTCTCTTAGTCAGTGAAAGTGGCACCATGGTGCTGGTTAAAGGTACTGCTTGTTTAATCATAAACTAATCATAACTATAGGTGTGCCTGTAAAAGCTTGCAGAACTTTAGTTAAGCCAGGCAGAGCACTGCTCTGTGCTTAGACATCCTGGGAAAGGCTGGGGAGAGCACTCTGCACTGTTGTATTCCAAGTCCTAACTAAGCACCGTGCTTCTACCTGCCACTGAACAACCAGAAGGGGATTTTAAAAGGGGAAACTGTCCATAATCACATTTCTTAACAAAGAAAAAGGTCAAAATCAGACAATAATCTCTTCCCTGTGTGAAAAGTCTGTTTTAGAAAATGAATCGGTGCTTTGAGCATCAGTTCTGTCACCTTAATGGGACTTCATGTCTCTTAGAAACCATTCACTATAGCAAGTCTATGCTAGGAAGTACAGAACAAGTCCTCAGGCATTTACTTAGAGCAACAAAGATAACAAAGATGATCTCTTATTATATATGAGCAAACTGTAAGCATATTCGACAGAGCCAGGGCTTATTTTACAGAGCCAGGTTTTTGATCTGCAGGTTAGTGTTGTAACTGTTCTTAAGATGAAGATGAAAACAGCAGTGTAACACTTGATTTTGATGTTACCTGTGCAGCTTAACTCTATTGGACTTTGGAGGGATCTTTGAGCAACTAAACAAAGGTTTACACAGATGTTATGAGTTGTGAAGGATTTGCAGCCTGCAAATTCCATAATAAAAATAAAATTCGACCTCTCTTCATTTTTATACTACTACTAACGCAATTCCACATGCAGGTGGGAAGCAGACAGAATGCAGTATCAATTCCTTGGCCATCTCCACTCCTACCATTGTGGTAGGAGTGCTGCTATTATCTGCACTGATATTCTGCATCCTAAACCGTGTCAATGTAAGTATGCTGTTACCATGCAAAAGCAAATCTGAATCCAGGCTGAGTGAATGGGTGTGTTTTCAATTACAGTCAAAAGTATTGTATTAAGTAGCAATTGAGTCAAGCAAACAATTGATAAACCTAAGGTTTTGTATTGTTTCCTCCTTGCCCTTGTTTAATGTCTGCTAGCTGTAAGTTTTTGGAGGTAAATACTGTCTTCTTATGTTTCTGTAGCATTTAGTAAATTATGAGATAGTGTTTGCTTTTCGACAAGGAAACTTGGGTAAGTTCCATAGTCAACAACACAGCCATGCATTTTATCTACTTCCCCAAATGGTGCAATTCTTTATTCTGTTTTGCTTCTATTAATTTGTTGTCAGTCGTGACAAGAAACTTCACCAAGATTTTTTTTTACATCCTTTTTTTTTTTTTTTTTCCAGAAAGCACCCAGAATTTTATTCACGTTGGGGGGTTTTTACACTCCATAAACATTATTCAAAATGAACATGATCCGGGAAGCATTCGCAGCTCAGACTCTTGTGCTGTACTTGTACTTTCAGAACAGCTAAAATAGCAGCATTATATCATTATGGAAAAGTCAAGGCTGTGGAGCTGATCTTTTATGGCATTGGTAAAGAACAAAAATTTACAGAAAGTATTATTTCTCTTGGGACCGCAATGACATCCAAATCTTGAAGGAACTTTTAGCGGGATTGCATAAGGCTGACAACGCAGAATGAAATGATTAGGTCATGTTTCCACATAAATCTCTAAGATGCTATTGTATTCCAAGATAAATTTAGCAGTATGTTTTTTCACAAGCAACTGGACTACTAGACGATAAGCCGGCTCCATTTCAAGCTCTCTTCTTAATGGCTGCTTGCTTTGTTTTGCAGATGAAGAAATTTTTCCGGAGAAAGAAAACAAACGTAGTGTATGAAGATATGTCTTTCAGTTCTAGAAGCAACACCTTAGTCAGAACTAACACTTACTCAAATAACAGTTAAGCTGCTGTGAGCTGGCATCACACGTGGATCAACTGTTCCTTTTCAGGTGTCTCTGAGAGCTGCCTTAGCAACCTGATGTAGTTGAACAAGAAATGCTATTACCTGTCCTCTGTAGCAGAAGGAAAAATCTGCCTTGTTTCCAAAGCTGTTTTTACTTATTTTGACTGCTTGTGAAATACCTCTTACTTTTTCATGTATAGAAAAGATGGAGACACATATATTTGCACATATATTTGCAGCACGGTGTGAAAAGCAGTATTTTTGGAGTGTACATTTGGCTATAGGCAACATGTGAGATTGTTTCTTAGACTGATAGGTAACCGTTACGGGGAAGTTGTGATGGTTTGAGAAGTCTGGGTCTGAGTTTTAGTAAAAGCTCAGGAAGATCATAAGAGGTTTGATTAATAATATGCAATAGATTCACTTAAAATGGAGCATGGCTTTCATAAATGTCCATGTGAGTCTGCTCAAAACTCTGGTAGCTAAAACTGCTCACAAGTTAAAGAGAATTCAGAAGAGAATTCAGAAACTTGGGAACAGAGTACATTAGGAGTGAAGGGCTGGATATGTATGGGTTTAGCTCTGCAAAGAGAATGGTCCAATAAAATTGCAGTCAATTGTAGCTATTAAATTAGTGACCTTGTTGGAGATATGGCATGTTGGAGTCAGTCTTGACTTTGTTGACACGCAAAGTGATTAGACTTGGTGCATGATGGCTTTGTAGGAAAGCAGAAATATGGGATATGCTGGCGTTGCCTCAAACTCAAGATGCCTTAAAAATGACACAGCAGATTGTAATTCTCCAGGCAGGTGACTTTAGATGATACAATACAGGGTTAACTAATCTGGGATAAAAATAATGCCAACATTCCAGCCTGGGCACAGCTGAGCCCGACCCAAAATCATTCTTAAGGGAGAGTTTAGCAAAAAAACTTTCATCAGCTGTATATTTTACTTGGTAATGGCTTAGAAACCTTATTTAAGACGATCACAGGTCTCCACAGCTGAGGAAAGGTAACAGTTGTCCTCAGGAGTGTTGGGTTTTGGGGAGCTGGGTTGACAGTGCAAAGAACAGTTTACAATTTGGCATGCCCAGAAGAATATCAAACTGCCTAATTAAGAGGCAGGATTGACAGCAGTGGCCTGTGGCATCTGAAGACAGGCTAGAATTAGAGTCTTTCTTTACTGATGCGTCTGTTTATTTTTTGAAGGTCAAAAGTTGGTTTGCCATTTATAAGTGTGTTTAGCTGGTGCTGAGCCGGGCACATGAGGTCTCCCATGACAAGCCTGCTGCTTGGAAGAGGTCATTTCCTTTAAACATCACTCGTGAAATGCTGTGCCCCAGATCTGAGGGGGGAAATCTGTTCATCCAAGTGTCTGGTGGCTCTGGATTTCCCTTTGAGCAGAGGAGTGTCTGTTGACTGCAGATCCTGCAACTGTCGTGTGGCTTCGTATGGATAAACTGATGCTTCTGGTCTGCACCCCGGGGGTTTTACACAGTTACCTGCTACTTTTGTACATATAAAGCAGTAAGGACTGCTTTGTGTATTTTGCAAATGAATGCTAGGTATTTAATGGACTGTTTCGTGTAGATTATAATTTAAAATAAAGTGAAACAAAGGCTTTTTTTTTTTTCTTTTGCAAATTTCACCTACCAAATAAAGCATGATAACCATTTTCCTCTTTATTTACAAAGTCTCGTTTGTTTGTTTGTTTTTTGAAAAGCACTAAATTGCTCATCACTGAACTAAACACAGAAGAACACTCTGAAAGTTGCGTACTCATGCAGTCCTTTAGTGGCAGGTCAGACAAGTCTCCTAAAATGTCAGAAGTGTCAAATGGTGTTGGGGAGGAATTGGCACATCCCTCGACAGCCCCTTGTCACGATGACCATGGCACTTGCTAGATCCAGAGCAGGAGACAGCACCCTGCTGCTGTGGGCTCCGTTTAATGTTTGTATTGTGTCTTTGCCTGCCTTGCTGCAGGAGTGCCAAGGAGATTTCAGAGGAAAACAGGCAAAGTTTGGAAATAAATCTGCTATTCCTGTTCCCACAGTAAGCAGCTGAGACAGGCGGACGTTTTGTGGGTCATTTCATGAGCTGTGCATAGGGGGTTACCAGCACTGCTCTCAAGGTGGGCACAGCTGTGGGGTCCTGTGGCCAGGCCAGCACAGCCCTCACAGGGTCCACGTCTCCTTGTGGGTTCTGGTTCCCCTCACCCCAAGGCCTCTTCAGGAAAAAGAGCACCTTGGCACCCTCCTCTGTGCGCCCCAGAGCTGCACGAAGAGAACTGTCATGGCTGTCAGTCAGAGAGGAATGGGTTCCTCCACTTTTGCCTTCATCGCTGACAAGCTCAGCTCACACATAAGTGTAGGTGTTGTACAAATTAGGTACTGAATGGGAATTGCTAAGTCAAGGCCTGAACTAATGGCTGAGCACCTGGTGAAGGGACACAGCCAGCCTTGGGAGCACAGGTGAAAGCAATTCATCCGCAGGACTGGAAGGAGAGGAACCAGGTTCCAGCCCTCCCTAACCTCATTTAAGGGCTGGTTGCCACGAGGGAAGGGTCTTATCTGGAGATTCTGCTTCTGGAGTACTTGTTGGGCCCTGATTCTTGGGACGGGTAAGCAAATTTTTCTTTTGTTTTCTGGATTGTGACCATTATTCTTTTTTGGATAATTTAGAACTTGGTATCTGCCATTGCCTTTCCCTACAGATACTAATCTAGGAACTAAAGTGCCTGTGGTCTGTTGTGTTTTGTTGTAAGATCTGCTGGTTGATTTGGGTTGCTTCCTCCAGCTGAGAGTCGCATCAGTGAAATGCCTGAAAATATTCACAGGGCCTTGTCAGTAAGGCCTCAAAAGTCAAGTATGTGAAATGGGATCTAACAGGGCTTTGCTGGAGCTAATCTGAAGGCTATAGCAGAGGCTTTCCTCCAGAGCATGCCTGCCTGTGAGGGATAATAGCACCTTACTCTGCTGGGCTTTTGAACCCACCTTTGCCTTGTGCAAATAAAAGACTTCAGATGGGGGGGTGGAGGGGGAAGCGTAGAGGTTTAGAAGAAAAGAGCTACATTTGCAGAAAGGTGCTGTATGAAGTTTCAAGATAAGCAAAGCGATATTTAACAGTAGGTTTCTGTAGCGATGCTGCAGTGCAGAATGTGACCGCTGTTGTGGGGAGGGGGGGGGAAAGCTGTGAAAGAAAACATTGGAGGTGGTTTCTTTGGTTTAGTGTATGTAAAACTAAGCAAAGCATGGCTGAAGGAAATGAGTGTGACACACAGTGTGACATTTCTTTAATTGTACTCGTGTCAAGAGGTAGAAAAACAAAACACTCAAAATTAACCTAAGCACTGGTGAATGAACCACTCAGAAAGGCCTGCTGGGGAAAAAAGCTCAGCAGCAGAGGCCAGGGCTGAGTGTTTGGCTGTTGGAGGGGGTGCTGGGGAGATGCAGCATGGACTCAAAGCTTCTTTGGAAGGCAAAGAAGTAAATTTTTCATATCTAAGGAAGAGAACAGTATTCTGGGGGTATCCTGTTGCCTTTACTGTTGTTCAGTGTTCTGTCTCTACACTGGAGAGGTTCATATTTATCAAGGAGAGGCAGCAAACGTGTTGCAGAGCACTGAGACTGTTTCAGTAGCTGCAAGGGTGAGAGTAGTATCAGGTTATTAGTGTGTTCCTCTGCCACGTTTCTGGGGCTGAAGGATGGAAAATGCAACTGGGAGCAAAGCAGTTGCAAGGGGCAGAGCAGAGAGCTGCAGATCTAGTTTCAGAGTTTACCAAACAAGAATGGAGAAAGCAGAGGCAGCTGAGCGAGGTCGGTACGTGAGGGGCAGAGAGAAAATGAGAGGCAGCGTACAGGCTGTGTCAGAAGTAAGGGGAGCTACAGCAGTATGGAGTTGCCTGGTCTGAGCTCTCAGGTAAAGAGGGGGCCATCAAAAATCATCTCTGGTTATTCACAAAACTGGAGAGAGCAGCCAGCATGTGTGAATTACTGCTTGTGGAGTTCATAGATTAAGTAAAATTTAACTAAGGAAAGCACGTTAACCTTCCCACTGAAGTTTCTGATACATTCATGCTTGAAATCAGGTGCCAAGGAAGAGCACAAGGAGGCTGTTAGGCAGAATGAGTGATTTGTGATGGAGAAAAGAGCTCAATGTCCATGTCCCAGAGTCCTGCTCCATGCTGGGAGCTGATAGAGCACCTGCAAATTCCAGGCAACCTCGAAGAAAAGTAAAGGCCAGCAGTGTGCTTTGTGGCTACTTTCTGTTAGAAAGAAAGCAGGAGAACCCTGTTGTTGTTTTTCAGTCATACTCTTTCTGTACACATACAGACAAGCCTTGTGAGATGCCACAAAAACCAGTTAGATTGTCATGGTTTGTACCTGCAGTGTTATCTATGATCTATGAGACATGATTGGCAGCTAGTCTGTAGGTAGATGACACTTAAAGTATACAGTTATGTTCTTATGTATTTTTCTTTTTTAAAGCTAGATGGTGAGATCACATGATATCCAAATGTCCATGAAATAAATGTGTTAAGAAATGTTTTGTAACACCTCTGATATCTCTGCTGCTCTAATTTGTGTGTGCTCATAGTGCAAGCTCTTGTTGAGAGCCTCCTGGAAGTGGGAACAGACAGTGAACAAACTCTTAGCAGCCTTTGGACTATAGCTCCTAGTACTTGTCGAGGCTAAAATGAAAATCAGAAGCCTTCCTTAGATGGCTGTATGTTTCTTCCTTGCCTGAATGGCTTTGTAAATGGAAGTGTTGCATGCAGAAACAGATAGGAAATAGTGTTATTTCTTTCTTTTCCGAAACAGGAAACAGAGGAGAGTTTCCAGGAAATCTTCAGCTCACAGAAATCTAAATGTGCGGTCCAAACTGAGGCTTTGCAGCCTGGACTTCTTCAGAACTAGGCAGGCCTGGTGGGATCCATCCTTGAAAGCATCATCTATTTATTTATTTTTAAACCATTGTTTCTCTTGTCCTGGCTCTTATTTGTTGGTAAATCTTACCATTATGATCATGGCAAGTTAACAAGTTGTCTCTGTTCATGTGGCTGGAGGCAGAGATGGGCTGTTCTCCCAGTACTATTATTCAGTGTCAAGCTCTAACACTTGGACCTGAGGGCACAACTTTCGTGGAACAAAAAGAGAGGCATAACTGGTTATAATTAATTATATTCAGTAGTAACTTATTGTCTTCACCTAGAGTCTCTTAAACAACTGTAATGCCTTGAGATGAATGTTGTGGTCTTTGTGGTAAAAATACAGAAGTCTGGGTGCTGCAGAGATGCTCAAGATGTTATATCTGCTGCTTATCACTGCTGCTGGGTGGGCTCTCAGTGGTCTGGTTTATAACCATCCAGACAGAGAGACTGATAATGTTCTGACAGGACGTTGTGGTTCCTGTGTATTAGAAAGGTCTCCTGTGCTGCTGCAGAGTGGAAAAACTGCCTCACTCTTCTCTGAGCTGGGATTGCATCAGTGCTGCTGCTGTCTACATTCTGCTCTGCATTACAGCTGGCTGCGGCCATTAGGCTTGTTGGTGAAAACAGCCAAGGTATTGCAGACCAGCAACACACTCTGCCCCAAGCCTGCAGCAATGCATAGGGTTGTTGTGATCTAAGTGCAGGGTTCAGCACTTGGTCTTTTTAATCTTCATCCTATTGGCCTCAGCTCAGTGATCAGCCTGTCCAGATCCCTCTGTAGGACCTTCCCACCCTCAGGCGTATTGATGCTTCCTCCCAGCTTGGTGTCACCTGCAAGCTTACTGAGGCTACACTCAATCCCCTTGTCTGGGTTATCAATAAAGGTATTAAACAGGGCCGGTGTGATGTGGCAATTAAATGTTTCAGCTGTAGGTTGGCATCACTTTAAGTCCTTTATGAGGAAAAGTCTGGATTTCTAGGTTGTTCATCTACCTTCTAGGATGTGACATAAGAGAAAGATCCTCCTGAGTTTACACCATGCCTACTTGTCTGTGCAGCAGAACTTCTGACACGTTGTGAATGGCTGGGCTCTGTTCTCTATGGATGGTGACAGGAACATGTCTTAATGTTTCAGTTACAGAAAAGGCAACTTTTTTTGGCTAACAAAGGATATGATCTGAGGTTTTCTCTTTTGCTGTGATTTTTGTAACAGAATTGGAACCTTTGATATTAGAGCAGGGATTTTGTGTATGATTATCATCAGTTGTTACCCCTGTTTAGAGGAGGAGTCTTTCACTGCACAGGCTGCAGCACTTTATATGGGCATTTCTACAATATACCTGCATGTCTTTCCTCTGCATGTAGCTGGATGGCTGTGGCAGCTTTAACTGCTTCCTGAGCTCGCTCACCCTGACCACAGTTAGACCACTGCTTAGGTGTTGTTATGCTTAGCTCTGGTCTGTGTATTGTGAGCAAGGTATTGAAGGGTATCTCAGCATTGAGTTCAGAGAAGCGCATGAATGAGCATTGCTCAAATAACTATGCAACATTGCAACCTTTCACAGGGCTGTATCTGCTCAGATCCTGAGTAAACCCACAGGTATCTGCCATGCACTGAGCACCAGCACTGAGAACCCTGTTGTTATCAGTGCCTGAGGTTGTTTAAAATCAGGTGTGCTGTCAAGTGGATGCACCTGTGTAACTTAAAGTTCTGAGCTCCCAGTCTGACAGTGAAAAAAGTACGGAGAGGGAAACACCAGAGCCTGGAGTAGTGAAAATGAACCTGCTTTAGAGACAGAGGGTAAACATGAAATTACTAGTGCCTGTTCATTTTAAGCAGAGCTGTTTTAGTGGTTGAAAACTGGTAGCTGGGTGAGAAAAATCATGTTTCTATATATTGCTCACTACCTGCTGGGTTCAAGGAAGTTCAATAGTCGTGTTTGCAGTACATTATTGTTCATATGGGGAAAAGGAAGGATATTTGTTGCAGTACTGGGTACTTCAGGTATGATCCCCCTGACAGTCTGAAATGGAAAAGGTTTTCAAATGCTCAGTTCATTTAAAAGCTGTGCTTTTACTTTTTGAAGCCACTCTCATGCATGGTTCTGCTGTGCGTTCTGCCTGCTGGCCCTGGGCTTCTCCTTATGTGAGAGCACACCAGGCACTCTGAGCTGTGATGTGATGGTTGTGCTCTGCTGCTGTGAGGAGGCTCAACTGCCTGAGCATCCCAAAGTTGAACAGGGGTCTGAATGAGCCCCTAAGGTCATTTAATCCTTTTCAATTATACTGCAAAGCCTGGGTTCAAGAAGGCAGGTAGATGCAGCACTGAGACAATTAAACACTGTAGAGTAAAGTGTTCTGTGAAGCTTATCTTATTATCTTAGCAACAAGATGGTTTTGTGAGAGTCGAGAGTTGCATCTTTCTTCTTAGTTCTCCTCTGCCTACTTTTGTTACCCATTTCCTTTGCAACAGAGGAGTTGTCATCAGGAACCACAGCAACAAGAAGTGTTATCTCTGAGGTGCTTAGGTTTGCTGCTCAGAACTGAAGTCAGATCTGCCTTGAGTGCTACCGGAAAGCCTGGCCTGCTGGGGAGAAAGGGAAGGAGGGTTGTTATTGTGAGATCCCTTACAGCTGGAAGAAAGGGAAATACCTGAGGCTATTAGAAGGAAATCTGTATTTAATACTCTG